TATTCGTTAGCCCATAACAGTTTTGTCATTTTGGTGAAACACACCTTTGTGACGATAACGGCAGCCGAAAATGGGGCAATGACCGACGGCAAGCAGATTCGCTCGTCACCGTTGTGAAGTAAGGAAACAACTGCTGGGAGCAGCCTAAATTATGAAACTTGTTCAGATTATTAGTATAAAACTCTTATATACAGGTATTCTATTAAGAAAATATTTGAACAGACGAAACATACTTACCTGGTGACTCCTATGCCAAAACAGCACATTTCCAATGGAGACTTGTCGCTGTTGAGAGCACCAATTGCTTGTGAGTACTTGGTTCCTGGATAATCAGAACTGTGCTTTTGAAGTATAGTGTAGTTCGCTGCGGACGGTGGGGCGTGTCAGGCAGTATGAGTGTGCCACGGTGAAAAACCCGCTCTCTGCCAGTTGTTGAAGGCAGTTACGCGACAACATTTGTTCGGGAAACGAGTGATACGAACGACATGATACAGTCTTGTCACTTGCTCGCCTTAACAACTTTTGAAGAACGGGTTTGGCACCGTGCCAAACCTCATGCTGCCTGACACGCCCCACCGTCCGCAACGAACTACACTATACACAGTGAAAATGTTCCGCTCAAAAGAATATTATATTGGCCCATATTTTCCGGAACACATTACAACCGGTGCAAGAAGAAAAAGCCCCGAAATTCCGAGAAATGTCTCGCCATGTTGCGTGGACTTCCACGAAAGCGACCTTCTAGCTACCTTCCAGTTTACTAGCTGCACTCCAAAGTGCCTAATTAGTTTTTTTGGGACCCTTGGGAGAAGATTATTCTTAGATAAGTGCTGCCTAAACGATGAGGTGTGTGAATGATCTACTGAACAATAGGGGAGGCCATCTCTGTCGATTCATGGCACACCGGCGATAATTTATTAGAAAAGGCGCTATCTTCGAAGATCTTCCATATTCACTGGCCGCGACTTTCTATTTAGGTCCTTTATGCTACGCTGCTGGAGCGGTTCCCGGCACAGCATCTTCGGACGGCAGTAGAAACATACTCTCAATCGAGGAGATCTGGGAATCTTGTGTTTGGTGTGAGTGTTGAGTTAGTGTTGAGCTCGTACCAGGCAAAAACACGATTTGCCATCGCATTGAATATGGTTAGTGGGAATGAAAAGTGTGTGCTTGTTACCATCTCTGCAGCAGCTTACTCCCAACAAACCGGCGGTCCCGACAGCCGAAATCTAGCGTGGTCCTTGAAGAGAAAGTTGATGGTGGAGTACAATAGAGATTATGCACTGGGAAGTTTTCTCAACTAGTACTACAGGGTATTGCTGCTGGTAGCAGCTTGATCGGATCGCCGACAGTCTGACTGAGAGAAAAACTGGTCTCTCAACTCACTTCTCCAACTTGAGAAGTCCTACATGAATTCCAACATTTACCAGCTCACTTTTTTGAGCAGGAATCTTACGCTATCAACACGATCTCAAACGAACATCTGGCCCTTCTTCGAGCACAGGAATTTGACTGCACGTGAGGCAATGAGCAATGTTCTACACATTGGCGAAATGTCATAGATACTGGTAAACAATTGTTACGCTGGGTGAATGAATAGCATAGAAATTGTAAAAGTGATATTAAAAACAGGCGGAAGTTCCGAAAATTACGCACTGACCTAGTAATTATGCTTGAAGTGAGCGTAGTATGTGAGTCAGATTCTATTAAATTCTTTTTTAAGCCCTGTTCATAGGGAACGTGGAGCTGGGGAACTATGTAATGAGGACCAGAATCTAAGACATCTTACCATTAGAAAACTGATCTCAATAATAAATTATTTTCACATGCCACAGTCGCAGGATATTCATCAATTAAAGATCACTAGAGTCAGTCGCGCACTGCGCATGAAACATGAACACAGCATGAGCACATGAAAGCTGTCGTTAGGGCAGGAGAGAGGTCAGGGCATGAGCGTCGCGGGGCCACGTCGTTTCCTGCGTCCTGCCGTTGGAGAAGATTTTTGCGAAAACCAACCCCTCGGAATTTCCCTTCTGATGCGGCCTCCCCATACCCCATCCTGCCTACCATCTCCCTAGCTTTTCCCCACTTCTTACCACGCTCCCGTTTTTTTTTACTCCACATTTTCCAAAAAAAAACAGCGCTCGAGCGGCACTTGAAATAAGAAAAACCGGGTCAACAGACGAAAACATATTTCTAGTAGGCAAATACAACCCCTCGCTGTGGATTCCCAACTTACGGCGTGCCCTGGTAGCTAGATAGAAAATTGTATGCACATCAGCGATGACTGTCTAGGGCTTTTTCTGAGGTGAAAGAGCGGCCAAGTGAGAACAAAAAAGAAACTAAGGAGAGAGACCCGACAAGGATAGCCGGATAGTCAGTCAGCAACGCGGGGTGGGGTTGGTTGATGGAAAAAGACTACTCATAAAAGTAGGTCCTTTTCAGATCCCAAATTCTCCTTTTGTTTTTGACCATGATTTTAAAAACTGGTTCACTAAAAGTAGTAATTTAGTACCGAGTTGAAAAGTGTGGGCGACTTCAACGGTGGAGAATGTACTCACAGCTGTGGGATCACCACATTTGCATTCATGTGGACCGTCTTCTCTTTTGCTCCCAGATCCGCAGCTGGAAAAAATCGAGTAGTTACCTTTAGAGGAATTTTCAAAATAGAAACATAACCAAAACATTCGTTCTTCATGAATCACTTACCTAGAGCAGAAGTGTATCCCATCCTCATCCAGTGGGTTTTTCAAATGATATTCATGGGATTGGCTCCCGCCATGGACTCCTGGCGCTGCTGGCACCTGAAAACAGAAATAGGCAGTGAAAGGAGTAAGTATAATACACTTGAAACAGCTCAGAAACGTGCCTTGTAGGTTTCCAATCCGAGGATGTCCTTGAAGATACGATCGTAGACCCCACAAACCATCTGATAAGTTTGATCAGAGGCTTCCTTGTCTATGTCGAAGGAGTAGAGGTCTTTCATCAGAAACTGACGTGCTCGCAGCAACCCGAATCTGAAAATCGCCTTTACTGATAAGGATATTTGATAGGCGAACGAAGCGCGTTCATACTTCGCGACCAAAGATGCATTTGAGGCGCGGCCTTGCAACTTTCCACACCCATGGCTGGATCGCTCCAGTCGCGTGTGAAGCTACGCCCACAAAGGGTACGTCCGAGAACATCACGTCTGATCTCGGTTTAACATGCTCCATGGTATTGGTAGTGACCAGTGAGCATCTGATTCAGGGCAGAAACGCATCCTTCTAAGAAAGGGAACGAATATCAAAAGGTGAGTGCTACGATACAATCAACATTCTACTCGAGGCATACGACGACAGACAGATGACAGAATTCAGGACGAAGCTACTTATTAACTATAACTGGATTCATTTCATCCCTGAACTTTTCGGTCGTTTGATATAGCAGTAGAGGAAACATTCGCTTCTTCAGCGACATCAGTTGAGCTACCAACTCCGTGCACATTTCTTCGGCAGTGGGCTAAAGAAGGAATTCTTATGGTTAGTGACGCAATGTCAAGCGAAGATAAGCAGAAAAGAGCACCTGCAAGCACCATTCGACTTCATGACGATCTTTCATGCGAAGGAGCTCTGTACCCATACTGTCCCATCGCGATGCTTTTTCCCACAACCTACGGGGACCTAGAATCGGCATGGTAATCTTCATCGCTCCAGTGGACTCCATTTCGATGTCAATCAGTCGCATCAACTTTTCGATGACACGTTGTCCAAGTGGAAGGAGGCTGTAAGTCACCAATATGAATAGCTGTTTCCACAACAATTTGTGGCCCGGCGCAGATCAGATTGAAAGAAACAGACTTAATCATAATACCATTCAATCAAATTCACCACTCTTTTTAGACCGGGCAGTTCACCAACCAGATCACGCCAGACACCACTGCGAGCCCCCCCGACGGTCACGCCTACTTGTCAGCGCGGACATAGATTTTCAACACAACACATGGCCGACTCCGCCCATTCTTCAAAGGGTTTGTTGCGAACTTCGAAATTTCATAACTTTTTCAACTTTTTAATTTCACATCCACTCTTTGCACAACGAAGATACTCGTACCCGCGCATTTATGCACTGGCAACTTAGGCTCCGCCCCCTTGGCCACGCCCACTTGCTTTTTGCGGAATTTTGATATTTTTTCAAAATTTTTGCATTTTTGGACTGCTACGTGAAGCCCCGCCCACTTTTCAAAATGGTGCAAATCGGCAGTGTAGAGTCTTGGCTTGCATGCTAGGGTCTCGTCCGTCACTCGGAACAAATAAATCAGGCAAAGTTTGTTCCGAGTGACGGACGAGACCCTAGCATGCAAGCCAAGACTCTATACTGCCGATTTGCACCATTTTTGAAAAGTGGGCGGGGCTTCTTCAAAGTGGGCGGAGCCTCTCACAGTGGGCGGGGCTTCACGCAGCAGCCCAAAAATGCAAAAATTTTGAAAAAATATCAAAATTCCGCGAAAAGCAAGTGGGCGTGGTGGGGGGGGGGGGGCGTAGCCTAAATTGCACAAATGCACCGGTACGAGTATCTTTGTTGTGCGAAGAGTGGATGTGAAATTAAAAAGTTGAAAAAGTTATGAAATTTCGAAGTTCGCAACAAACTCTTTGAAGAATGGGCGGAGTCGGCCATGTGTCGATGTGTTGAAAATCTATGTCCGCGCTGACAAGTAGGCGTGACCGTCGGGGCGGGGCTCGCAGTGGTGTCTGGCGTGATCTGGTTGGTGAACTGCCCGGTCTAAAAAGAGTGGTGAATTTGATTTGAAAAAGTGGTGAATTTGGTTTGAAAAGTGGTGAATTTGGTTTGAAAAGTGGTGAATTTGAAGTAAAAATGGTATATACAGCCGGCAAGATTAGCGGAGCTAACGTCCTGAGTAGTATGAGACGAGCGCAGCTTCGGGATCCTACGCAAACCAACAGCAAGACTGCTCTCCCACCGGCGCACTTGGAAGCAACCCTGCCTGGGGAGAATAAGGGCAGTGGATAGAACAGTAAATACTGCAAGTTGTTGTGTGAGCTATGAATTCAAATGTCTCTCCGTTTCTGAACCTAAAGGCTAAGCCCGCGGTCGGATATTCTATGTAGTAGTGCTCAACTAGTAATGTCGAAATGCAGCAAAGTCAGTGGCGGAGGGAAAACAGCAAAAAAGTGGTCGCAAGGGCCTTTAATGAAACCCCCTAGTGAACGCACTTATACGAGCAGATGGAGAGCAAAGGGAGTGATCGGGCGAGACACCGGGCGAGTGATAATGTGGTCGATGGGGTCGCCGCCAATGATCACAGCTGATTTCCTATTGCCAAAAAATGTCCCTGCCCATGTTCTTTGGCAGATCTTCGGTTCTTATGGATAGTAGAGCAAGATTATGAAAATGGGCCGGGCTGATGAGAGGAACGACAGCATCGTTGGCCTCGCCGCTCGCTTCTGTGCCGCAGAAATGGCTCAATCGCTGCCTCTGCGGACCCGTCCGGTTGTTCGCTAAGGGAGAGGAAGATGTCAACTATCTTTGAATACAAACTATCATTGCATACTGTAGACAGGTACGTCTAATTGCAGACCTAAAGACGCTAAGGTATGGAGAACCCATTGAGGACCCCCCTCCCCCACCTGCAGCCTCACTGTACGGATTCTCCGGAGCTGCTCGTTTTATGCCAGCAGAGCGATATCCTACTGCAGTGGCTTATTAATTCTTTTCTTTGCGTCATGCAATCCTACTACTATCTGACAGCGAAAAAAAAAAAGGCAGTCCAGGCAGGAATGTCCTATTAAGTTTAGCAGAAGGGGGTGCATCTCAATGAGTAACATTGCAGCGTCCGCAAAAGAGCATGTTCGTGCTGAGTCAGCATGTTAGACGTATGAATGCAGTGAGGGCGTAAGAGCCGCCTAGGGTAAAGGAATGGGGCCGCTGATCGGCGTAGCGGATAGCCGCACTCCGCCCCGAAAACATGAAGATGCGGGTTCCAGAATTCAGCCGGAGGAGGCAAAGACTTGCCCATAACGCAGCACTGATTGTTTGGTCAAATTGGCGACAGCTGCGCGTGACAACAAGAAATGCATACGAGATAGCAAAAATGCGATATGATGCCTCATTCCCTGTAACCTAGAATTGTCACTCTCTCTCCCGCCCGTCACCACGTTTAACTGGCTCCCCACGAATGAAGCTGATGGTAAATTGACGACACATTGTTTGCGAACACGGCACTCCGAAAGCAGATTGAGTGCTGACGTTCAGTAGTCAGTGGAAATTGCCGAACGTTGGTAGTTCGGGCTGCAGTCAACACAAAACTATGAAATTGCCAAACAAAGGAAGTCTCTGCGGCCTGTTGGTATTCGCCAAATGTGGAGAGTGTGCGATTCGGAAGAATGAGTGCCAAGCCATTAGACGAGAATACATTGTTTGCGCACACTGGGGTTTCCGGAAATTTCACAAACTGGGAGAATGCGCGTTTCGCTTGTTTGCAAGCTCCGAAAAATCATAGCGGGCGGAGTCTACTAAATCTGGTCGCATTGTTGGTTTCAGATTACAGCCTTCTCTTTTTCGCAAATACGGCGCTAAGGCCGCGTTCAGACTTTGATGTCGAATCGCTCGATCGGATTGCGCGATGATTGGATCCGCGATCCAATCGCTCGAGCGATCCGATCGCGAAGTCTGATCGCTGTCTTAAGTGAGTGGGAGAGGTCGTGGAGAGGGGCCGGGGTACTCGCCAACGCCTCCGAATACCTTACTTTTACTGATTGTTAGGCTTGGCGGGAGGCTATCTCTTCCCCACTAAAACATCCCTAGACGACTCTGGTTGTCTACTTTCTATGCCTGAGCTTTTTTTTGGGAAAGAGATACAGGGGCGCCGAAGAGTGGTTCCACCATCCCCGCCCCACGGCACAACCGCACGACTCCGTGGAAAAACTCACCCATGCGCGTATGCGGCGCGGTTTTTGACGTCACCGCGGCGGCAGGGCGGAGCGAAGGGCGATGGCCTGCGCCTCCGCCACTGTGCTCCAATCAGCAGCCGCTTTTATGTGGAAGGAAAAAGAGGGGAAAAAAGAGAGAAAGTTTATAGATGAGTTAGTAGTAGTGGCGGGAGAATACAGAAAAGTTGACTATCAGGGCGAATTACTCCAGTCAATGAAACTGGCGAAATAGTGCCCCCTTGATAGCGAAAACGACGCAAACGGCTCTTACGCTAACGTTAAATGTTATAAGGTCACAACCAACTGCTGGCAATTTGCCCACCCTAAGCGTTTGCGTGAGAGCTATTTGCGTCGTTTTCGCTACTAAAGGGAACTACTTCGCCAGCTTCATGAAGTAAATCACCCTGATAGTCGACTTTTCTGTATTTTCTGCTCACTACTAATTCGCCTACAAACATTCACTATCTGTCCAAGCATCTTTTTTGCCCTCTTTTTCCTTCCACATAAAAGCGGCTGCTGACTGGAGCACAGTGGCGGAGGCGCAGGCTATCGCCCTTCGCTCCGCCCTGCCGCCGCGGTGACGTCAAAAAACGCGCCGCATACGCGCATGGGTGAGTTTTTCCCCTCCTCCGCAACCACACAACCGTGAGGGGCTGCTCAGATTCCCCGAGTTCAGGGTTCGTAACGTTCGCAAAGTATGAAGGCAGCCTTTAATGAGACGGTGGGTTGAATGGGAACTGGGTAACCTAAAGCCGAAAATCACCTACAGTTGGCACTGTAGGGAAGCTCAAAACAGAAAATGAAAGTTACCTGTACAATCCGGTGCCTACTGGGTGGATATATCCATGACTAAGAAGAAGCCGATGAGCGACACTCTTCGTTGGACCCGGCGAAATCCCACTTAAAATGTATTTGGAGGCTTTGAAGACGACCATCCTAAAAAATGAAACGTTTAGTCGTCGGAAGAGATCGAAATGCAGTCAATAAAACAGCAAAAGATGGTTGTAATTGAAAAGATACGGAAAGAAATTGAAAAAGAAATTGCACTCTCAGTGGCTATGGGGCGCACAGTCGCTCTGGAGCAACGCTCTAATGTGACTCAAATTCGTCAACTTTCACTTAATTTGCACTGCTGGCTGCTTTAATTTTTCTAGGAGGTTGTCTATTACGTTTTCTGCCATTATTTTGTTAGCGTTTTCTGATTGAAAGGGCAGAAGTTCTAAGCTTCTTTTCCTGTATAAGGCTTAAAAGCTAGAGTAATTAGAGATATGGAAATTTATCGGAAGGATCTAGTCAAGTGCATGTTCTCAATAGGCTTGCCTCATCATACCGTAGCTTCTTGAGATGGTTATGCATTTTCTTTCTTTAGTTTGTACTAAAATTAGTTCCAGTCCGACCATCCGTCATCTATGCGATTGTAGTAGTTATGGAGGCTACCAACGAATTAAAAGATCTTCGTAAATCTTTCGCCGCTGCGCTGCGCCGGAAGTAAGTTCACCGCCTTCTTATAATAACGATTATTACCATGCAACTGATCGTATCCTTTCCAGAACCGATAATCGCACGCCTTACTATTTTGCTCTGGAGACATTGCAGTACCTGAGGAAGGTCGTTATTTATGAGAAGTATGAAACAATAGCGTAAGTTCCTCCATATTCGACTTCATCAGTATACGGCACATCTATAGAATTATCCGCAAATTTCAAGTAAAATCACTGCTTCCCTTGGCGCTATCATAGTTGAGAGAGGGAGGACGAGCCCCAGCGCCTCCGTATTCCTTTTCCGGACCAAGGCTTAGGATTGGTGAAGACCATGTCTTCTTTACAGAACTGTCCCTTTTCGACTCTGGTCGGGAGCGCTCTAAACACGAGGCTTTAGGGATACAAATTTCGGGTGGGGGGGGCGAGTGGTCCCCATAGGTACTTTGGTGCCGTTCCCTTCACAAAACGAGTTTTTGTGTAGAAAGCGCGCTCATTTGTATGTCCATTTTCGAGCTTTGTTCGTCTATGTGATGCTTTAGCTTCTCACCAAGATTGCTAGCAACTCTGTTCGGCTAACGTTGCGACGTTGTTGCCTTTTCCGAATCAGGAGATCCGAAAAGCACAAAGCTGGCGGGAAGCTAAACCAAAACACAGACTAATTATAGACAGCAGGAGCCTCACACCAAAGCAGTTCTGTGATCATTCGAGATCCGTGCTTTTCTGGAACATACCACAACTGTGTTCTTCGCTTTTATAAGGCTTTCCCACCCACCCCTTCACCACAAATCCACAGTATATTAATGTTATCAACTTCACCGCCTTCTATTTTTCTCAAAGAAGCTCATGTAGATCATTACCACATTATGCAAATTTCCTACGTAGGTGAGTGTACACGGCCGCTGCAATAGTCAGCTGCAATATTCTAGTGACCTTTTGTGTGTTAACGTCACATGTCGATGTGTGGACTAGAACCTACAGAGCTAGTGATTCGTAACGTTGTCATGATGGTCACAAAGCTGGCTCGTGACGAAAGCGTCAGAGTTATCACAGGTTAGCATTCGACGTATAGATATGCGTTTCTTCGCTGTCATTTTGCTTTAGAGCTCACCTATAGTTCTGATAGTCACTATTTTTGAAAATGGTCCATATCTGGGGAGTTTGCTACTGTGCTTACTCCGCCGTTAACTCTGACCTTCAATCACAAAAGGGCACAACTCTCGAACGTCGCTCTTTCGGCTTAGCGCTTAGATTTAGTCGCTTGTATACGTCCAATAAAATAAACGTTTTGTGCTTCTGATGCCAGTGCGTGTTTCTAACCTTTATGTACATCCACTATTAAATTCGTGATCATGGGGTCAAATATACTGCGTAATGGCGTACAGTGGTTTACCATCAAAGAGCAGAGCGGACGAAGGCCAATCTAGGCCTTGAGATTGGACGAGTATTCCAAGAAGTGAGGCAGCAGTGCGTGGGCGAGAGACCAGAGACGATGGATAGGAAAACATGAGGATGATTAGAAAAGCGGGAGAGACTGCAAGTTGGCCCCACAGAACAACGCAAGACGCCCCACATGTGCTTATAGATATAGGACCAAAAGCATATCTCCCTCCTAAATAGGTCAAGCTTCACGTTCTAGTGTTGGCGTTCTTTCGGCTTACGACAGCTGCAACGCCCTAGTCAGTTACTGTATAGCCGTAAAAAGAGCTTGCTTGGAGATTGTGAAACCGACTTCCTGTACGAGGGAGGTATTCTACTTGTTTTTGCCCAGTCGCGAGCCATGTACTCAGACACGGTCAGCTTTGGGAATACGTCATCCGAACCTTCGGAGTGATGTCGAGTTTGGCACTATAATCTGCAACTGTAGATAAAGTACGCTATGGGAGAAGAGGCAGATCTCATAAAATAACGAAGTACGGTAACCTGCTTGATATTTTAATCTTAACCTTAACATCATTTTCTAGGTGAACCTGTTTCTGCATTCGATTCCTTAAATAAGTTATGGATAAAAACGGAAGATCGAATTGGTGCTGCGAGTGGTAAGAAGCTCAAGAAAGGACTCATTCAAGCAGTGAATGAGGTGATCCACCTTTCCTTTGTAAAAGCTGGTCAGCTTTTATACATTTTATTCGACCAGTATTTTGCTGAGCAAACTTCCAGCTTCAAGCTATCTCTATAAAATAGCTTTGCAGGTTGCATCTGAGATGACCCTGTGTTGTGAAAACATTGCTGCTCGTGCAGGTGAACTCGTAAATCCTAATGATGTCCTCATAGTGCACAACCTTAGCGGATCGCCCACATTAACGGCCTTTCTTGCTGCTGCTCGAGCTACTCGCAAACACAGGGTGAGCATTCTGACAAATACACGCCTTTTTAATAACGGGTGTAGGGTCGATAACCTATTTTCTGCAGTATTAGGCGCATTCATTCGAATGTGGCGGAGACGCTCGCCACAACGTACGCGAAAAGCTTCCAGTCACAACACCAGCCTTTTTTGTCCTTTTTGCATTTACCGATCTCCTTTTTGGTTTTGTAATACTCTGATGAAACAGTGTTTTTAGGAGCGTGGAACCGGCTGTCCATGAAACGTTCGTATTTCAAAGACTTAAAGCCACAAAATGTTTTTTTTTTCGCGCGTAAAGTTTACATGGTTGAGCGAAGAGCAGGAGTGCGCCTTATACACCCTGGAAAATAGGGTATTTAGAACTAGATACCCGAAATTTTGATGGATCCAGAGAAGAATGTTCAGGTGTTGAGCGTGGTGCACTCAAGCGAATTCGATTCCACTCCTGAGTATGCGTCACCTATACAGCTATGCGATGTTGGTAGCAAGATGTGCGAAGTCACTAAGGTAATCAAATTCTGTTCTTTTATGACGAGATTGCTCACGAAAACTGATTTTGTGTCAGGTCCAGTGTCATTTCGGTGAAGTCCCGTAATGTCCTGCAAAGCTGCGAAATGTTACTTTGTGTAATGTCCAATTTTCATGTGAATTTTTCAATTTTTAATGTTGAATGGCATTTACTGCGGAAGGCACAACGAAATTGGTATGAGCTAGGGATCGAAGATTCTGACCTATGCCTATGGGGTGAAGAAGGCAGTTGGTAAACCAATTCCTTCTTTCGGAATGTAGCTCTCGCATTCAATAGGAAGCAGTTCTTAGGTGCTCCCAATTATATCATCATATAATAGGTGCAATTTGCTAGAATCTTCTTGCATACATTTCGCCTTTTGAAATATGGAACATTTGAATGGATTTCTCCATCCACCATGTTGTTTCAATTCCTACAGAAAAAATCCCTACAGAAAGCTTGTTCTGGATTCTAAACCAAGAATTTCAAGTCTCTTTGTTGGTTTTTCAATTCTAAAACTTCGCTTTTACAGTTTGATGAGATCTTCTGGCTAATATGGGAACTTTTCT